CCATCACTATAACAAATAAAAAACATACTGTCAATAATTTACATATTGTCCAACGCGTTAGAGCTAGAAAGTAGGTTGACTCTGTACTTCATACGCAACGCCGTCGTCAGTTCATAAAGGATTAAGTTCAGCGCAATTTAAAACCTCTGACACAATGTCAATTACAAACATGTACAATAGAGAAATTAAACGGATTGTCAAATAGGCCCATACAATTAGTCCATAGACATTCTTTCTCTGGCCTTTCGGTAGTTACCGTCCATCAACATTGACACCGTTCTCATCTGCGCGGCATCGCTGCAGCGAGTAATTTTGTGCATGGTCCGTGTATATGTTTTTTGCCCTCCACTACGGATACATTAGTCAGCCGGAGAGAAGATAGCAGGAGTATCTCAGACATTTCTATGTGATTCTAAGTTTTTAAGAGCACATGTATGGGGAAATCTATGATGTGTGACATATGGATTTCAGGTGCATAGAATTACCGGGGTTGGGAACATATAAATATACTAGAATAACAATTTTTCATATACCCTCTCCGACCCCCTGTAACCCCTATCCCCGAATTTCAACCGCTACAAAATTTTTTTCTGAAAATGGTCAGGGCACTGATGTTTGAGGGATTTTTATTTCTCTTTGTTCTTGGCTTTTTTCTCGGTCGCTACTGGAACAATTGTCAAAAACTATCCATAAAACACATCTCATTTTTTTCGTGATTACAATACGTCCCCGCTCAGCGTAGGGAGTAAAAATAAACCAAATGTTAATAGTGTTGAAAACTATTGACAAATATACAGTGTCGTGTGTTCTCACATAAAAATTTTCGAGCGACGTCATGTGCTGGTGTCTATGTAAAGAAAGTGTTCAGTACAAACTAAATATCCATTCCAATAATCAAGAATGCTGAATGTATGTAACAGTTTGCAGTTCTCGATAACACATCATCTCACTTACAAGTTCACTAGTCTTATCAGCAGCTATCATGATTCGTCGTTCGTGCATCGAATGCCTGAATAAATCTCCAATATTTATGTGAGTCAGGTGTTTGAAAGAGCAAATCGCACCGATGAAAAAGCGCACTTATTTACCGGTTTGTCCATACATGACCACTTATATGTCAGGTATAAAAATTGATAGGAGCGTAAGAATTGAGTGGTCTACACATGCATATTCCCGATAGCAAACAGAAATAATAATCATTTTAGCAGCATCTGTCAAAACATTTTCTGCTAATATTTTACTTTTTACGCAACAATGAAGTATCGTATGACGAAAAATTTTGAAAATTAAATATTATGTTTTTCGGATGTTGACATGTATCGGGTGTAAATTGCTGAAAATTATTTTCAGCTTCCTGAAATGGCCGCTAGGCAAAAACGCGTAATTAACGTACTGATTTAATAACTCTATTATGTTGATTGACCACTTTTCGAACTTTTTCCTCAATGTGATTTTTCCATATTTTGTTTCGTTTCGGTTAAGTGTCATTTCAGAAAAAATAATACACACAATTCTGTTTGGCTGCACCGATTTTCCAGACAACTACCACTGAAGTAGACATATGATTTATTTTTTACAGTTTGCGATGTAGGGGTTCACGATATATCGTGCTAAAGTGAACATACCGTCAAGTTTGGCTTTCAAATTTGCTAAGCAGTGGTAGTATTGGTTCAATCTACTTAAAGCCATTTTTGCATAGCCATCGTTAAAACTAGATTGTTTCTAGTTGGCAAATGGGAGTAACTCGATGTAAGGAGTTGGCAGTGATTTTGCAGAGGAGTAACTTTACTTCCCCGGAGGAAGTATGTACTGTAATCGCAAAAATTTTCAAAATGAAATATCATTGTATGTCTGTCAACTAATGTAGGGGTTAAAAAGTGGGAGTTGGGACTGCAGGAGGTGGGGGTTGTACATGTTTAATTTTTGGTATCATTAAAATGCGTCATATTACAAGTTTCTGATCCCGGTTATCATCAGTTAGATGTAATAGGAAAATATATTTTATGTTAAAACGCTACGCGGAGTGTAACCAATATGATCGCACGATGATATATACCTGCAGATTTTTCTCGTAGTTCAAGTCTCGGATGATACAGTCATGCGTACGAGGGGTTGGCAGATATCCCAGCGGCGGAAATGAGTGACATGGTTTTTCGTGATGTACATGTCATATAACATAAAAAAAACATATCTCATTTTAAAAAAATTTCGCGATTACAATACCTTCCCGCCAGTGGGCGTGCTAAGGAAATATTCCATTCGAGGAACCAATGCTTAAACTTGAACTCCTTAATAGACGGCAATATTGTACGCTATAGATGAGATGGCTCGCTAGAATTATTGTTCATTGTTTACCACCTTACCATTGCGAATTGAATAAAATTCAGTTAATATGGGCGCAAGCGTTACCACCGAGAGTACAAGGCCTGACAACAGACGCGTGACGTCACCACGAGTAGGCCGGTCGGCCGGCCGACAGCACGGCGTGCCGTACATCAGCGCTAGTGAATAATAAATATATTATTGAAGCATATTTAATATACTCTACCTGATGTAAATAACGGATAATTCAGAAAAGTGTTTTTGGTATATGAAGGCAACTTGGTGGAAAATATTAAAGTAGTTATTAACTATTTTCACCCTGATTTTCACTGATATTTCATCCAACATTACGTGCACATTAGATTAATAAGTTGATGTTATATAAAAAATGTAGTGCTTGTACAACAGTTGTGTCCAACAAGAACCAACGAGGAGGTCTGAGGTAAGCTCTTGCCAGGAAAGGAATAAGGAAGATGAGGAGGAAAAGTGTAGGATAAATGATAAGAAAAACAGATAAATTCAAAGTAAAATAAACAATAGAACAAACATAACAAAGATTAACGAAAACTTAATAAAAACTCTTAGAACAAACAAATAACAACACAAAATAATAACAAAAATTAGGAAACAGAGAACAAGTATCAAAAATAACAAAAATTAGAATAACGAAAAGTGCTGAATTCTGAATATGTACAAATAAACATTTATCTACAGCTATGTAAATGTGCGGCCTCATGTGAATGTGACGTTTCTTTGCTTTATTCGCGCTTGCAAAGCTGTCGTTCCTTTTGGCACAATAATTTTTCAAAAATGTATTGACTGTGCAAATAACAATTAGTTTTATAACATAATCTGGTGAATGGACTGTGCAACGCGAAAATGAAGTGTCGTGATTATTATCACTCAGATTGTTAATTATCAACTGAGAAAAACTTTATTGAAAATTATATAACTTAGCATGACAATATTAATAACTGGATCCTTTGGGAATTTTAAGCCACCTCTACTCAAATTTTGTATAATATTGTGCTTGTCTTCTATATCAATATCTGTGTGTGTCAAATTTTCCTTACAATGATCGCAGTGATTTTTCTTTAATAAGGCATAGCAACAGTAACCAGCTAAGTAGGTGATGACAGGGATTTCATCCTTTATACTATCAATATCAGACTGTAAAATTTCAATTTCCCGGAAAAAGTGGTAATCATTAAAATTGTGTGGAATTTCATCTATTTCTAAATCATCATTTTTACAGAATTTATCTATTTGTATATCACCATAGCGAGACTTCAATGACATCAAGGCTTTGAGTTCGTAACTTTTTCTGAGAGTCATATAACTGACGAATTGATATATTATATTGACCCCCTGCCAGTTGACGATACTTTTTTGTCATATTGTATAATAGATTATGATCAATTTTAGAAACAGGACAGATTTGAACAACTTCTTTGAAATTGGAGCAGAAGCTTGAAATCATAAACACATAGGCTGTTGTAGCTAATAAAGTATTATTAATTGGCGTTCCAACAATATTACCCCCTTTGAAATCTAAATATGGCTGAATGTGTATTTCATGCATCAATAAAATCATGTACTCCTCACTAGGTTTCACAAATCTGAAAAGGTTTTTTGCATAGCCTAAAAAATTGTATCTCTCATCGGGAACTGGATCGACCATCAATGTATTACATATTGACTTCAGAGTATTTTGGTGTGGTAAAATAAGTGCTCCATGGCTCCTAATAAATCTATATGAATGTGGACTGATTGTATACAACATAGAGCAAAACACTATTGTTTCTGATGAGTAGCTGTGTCTGTTCTTCTGACTAATAGCAAGCTTTAGTTGCTCACAAATAAATTGAATGACAGTGTGGGTCTCTCCATCGGTGAATAGTTCTGTGCTATTTAAAATATTGTAAGCATGGTTGATAGTGGCTCTGAACTGGTCTTTACCTGAATATTCCCTCGAAGCATCTACATTCTCAGAAAGAACATGCAGAACATCATCCAAGTGGTGTATATATAATAAAAATAGAGTTTTAATATTACCTGAGCTAAGTAACAATTCTTGGGAGTACATATACGTTTTTAAATTGAGATCTTTATCAACAATTACAGAGTGAGTTATGATGGGTGCTGGTTTATATTCTAACTTAAACAAAGTAACTTTATCCTGAACAATTTTATGCCACCCATATGGACATTGCCATGAACTGGAAACTGTGAGAAAGTCTGAATAATTTTAAAAACAAGTTGATTTTTGATAGGAGGAATAATGATCAATGCTACTTCGCAGTGCTTTAAGTAGTTGTTCTTGTTCCTTGTCCCTCAATTTCTCATCTCGGCTTCTTCTGCTTGATATGTCCTTTGAAAGGTATTTTGGACAATTTGCAAAGATACTTGGAATTACATCTGCCTTTAATTTTGGATACTTAAGGGGTACAGTAATGGTCCTACCTGTCTTTTCGTCATGGAAGTTGGATTCCCAAATGATGCTGTCCTCAGCAAAGTGCAAATTGCATACTCGGGTGTTTTTTGTAACCACTAAATCACTATGAGGGATTGCATTGAGCCATCTTTTATGACAGTTTTCATTCAATGGAAACGAAAATACGTGTACCTTCGGACCCTTTCCGTAATTACCGACATAATTAGGAACGCAGCACTTGTAAGGCATTTTGAAAACTTAGCTAAACAATCGCGAGACACAAATATAAGTTTAAAACATCAATAAATTTGAGTTTACATAGCATAGAATAGAGGCTCAGAATGTGAGGTTAGTTGGCAAGGTTGCCACATATTCCAATTTTGAATGGAATATTAGAATTCACAAGTGACAGATTGAACGTAATATCGAAAATGTATTCTTGACATACTGAGGCAGATCAGAAAGAATAATCACATCATCACTGAAGCTGCGCAGGCCCAGAGTAAATCTTGCAAATTCGCCCACAGAGACGTACAACTAATTAGTAGATATTTCGATACTGCTATAACAAACCTAGATGTGACAACACCCCAGAGAAATGGTGGCGCGGTTCTCTTGACAGCCAGGCATCGCGAAACTCCATAAGAATATGCATAGGCCTACTCTGCGTGACGTCACAGGCTTTTCGGAGCCCAGTTGTTTGGCCTTGTACTCTCGGTGGTAACAGCGCAAGTCATAGGAACAGGGAACAAGGAACAATGTAACCTTCAAGTGAGCTGAGTTATTGTTACAAAATGCCAACAACGTATCAAGCGAGAAATGGCAACAATTTGTACAACATGTCATCAAGGAGGAACATAGAATGTGGGATCTGGATACTGACATAGACATTATTATTGAACCAGTTGTTATTGACTTGAATAACGACGAGTCTGATGCGTCTACTGATTAATAAAACTATCCCATTTTTAGATTCTAATATAAGTTTATGTGTTTTTGACAACTCATATCAATTTTATTATGGTTTGACACTGAAGTATTTTTGATTCATGCGGACGTCCGAAGTTGGTTGGCCGCGTGGGTCAGAGTGTCGAGCTACTGATCAGCCGGCCGGCCGGGCCGCGAGTTCGAATCTCGCCTTCGCCATGGATGTTGTGTGTTTGTTTTAGGCAGCAGCGGTGGCCGCAGTAGTCGACTCTTCGGTCTCCTGATCAGCCGCCGTGCGCTGTGCGGGTTCGAGTCCCGTCCCAGGA